CAAATGGCTCACAAGATAGAGAAATTCAACACTGTTCATCAGAAACGGCATAAGAAGATTGAAGAGGCATTTCATCATGCAACTAATAACCAGATAAAAGACTTTTACTTAGATACATTTACTTGAATAAATTAATATAGGCTGAACAAAATTTATAATACAAATATGATTTTTGATTTAAATTTATGATTAAAAGTGATTTAATCATAAACTAAGTTATGACCTAATTTTATGATTTAAAAGTGAAACAGCAGTTGGTATAAAAAATTAAAGAATAAGTTACTGTATTATTAAAGTGCAATATGGACCCGACCCAACAATCAAGAAAATAACAATGATTACTGGCACAAGCAGTAAATCTCAATGTTTGAAAAAAGTCAATTCACCTCTAACTTCTCATAGTAACTCAAGTAGCATTTTTACTGATATTCTTTTGAAACGAAGTTAGTGAACTGAAAAATGAAGAAAATAACTTTACTAATTAGTGCATCACACACACACACAAAAAAAAAAAAAAAAAAAAAAGGAAAGAAAAGAAAGAAAAAAAAACCTCTCGTCTCTTTCTGAAAAACATTAATGTTGCTTCCTGCAAATACATCTTCTAACATTCAGCTTTAGATCAGGGTATTATAAAAAGCTTTCAAATGTCATTACACAAAAAATGTTCAGAGAGTGTTTAACAGAACTGAGTTTTATGAAAATGCAAGCACTTCAAAAGAGATAAGTAAGTCACAATCTCTGCTAAAGGCTATGCTCATTATATAGTCAGTGCAGCGATTTCGTATCTTAAAATCAATTAAAACTGCTTTTGAAATGAATGTAGAAGAAACCTCAAAGGAATTACAAGCTATTGCTATGAGACATCAGTGAGGGAAGTTATAAAGTTTCATTTTTATAATATGTGTCAAACTTAAAAAATATAGAGACAACATGCATAAGAATTCATTACAAAAGTGTTAAAAGAACTTCAGAAAGCAAAAGTGATACAGAAAAAAAAAATGACGACAATATGAAACAAACACAGATAGAATTTAATTTTAGCATTAAATTTTAATTATTATTTTAGAATTAATTACTAAATTAGCTGTTAGTTATTATTTTACTTGAAATGTTTAAAACTGATATCATAATCTGCGATAAAAAAATCACCATCAATTCAAGTCAGCCTCTTCATAAACTCAAATATGTTTGTACCACAGTGGGTATTATATATAATCCTAAGGACTTTTTTTCAGATAATTTTTCATTAATTAATACACATATATATATACACTGACTACCAATAAGTATTTGGACACCTATGCAAATGACGATATCTGCAGTCCTAAGGTACGTCCCGGACTCCGCCGTTATATATCATGTAGGAAACAGCATCGGCTTTAGTAGCATGCAAGATGCCTCGCATTTCGGACTCTCTGATTTCTAGAAAGGTACAATTATCGGGTATCACAAATGTGGCCGATCCTTAAAGGACATATCTAGCGATCTGAAGTACCCAAAATCGAGAGTGGCCTATGTGATTAAGAGGTTTAAGGTGAGAGGTGATTGTCGGAATGTGCCCCGAGTCGGCAGACCAACGAAACTGGGAGATAGAGACCAACGAATGCTGTCCAGAGAAATTCGGAAGAACCCCACCCAACCGATGGCCCTCATCCGCGAGGAGTTTCAACAGGCATCCAGGAGTATTGTTTCAAAGAATACCATCCATAAGGAAGCACATCTGCTCGGTTTTCATGGTCGTGCTGTTGCCCATAAGCCTTTGATCACAAAGTCCAACCACGCTGCTCGGTTAATGTGGTGCAAAGCACATTGAAATTGGACCCTAGATTCAGTGGAAATGGGTTCTTTGGAGTGATGAATCAAGGTTCACCCTTTACCGTTCGGATGGCAGGGTCTGGGTCTGGCGTCTACCTGGAGAACGTCTCCTGCCAGAATGCATTGTGCCAACAGTCAAGTTCGGCAGAGGTGAAATTATGGTCTGGGGGTGTTTCTCCTTGTATGGGCTGGGACCCTTGGTCCCCATTCATGGTAAGCTCAACTCTGATGCCTACTGCACTATTTTGGATGACAATGTGCTTCCTACGTTGTGGCAGTTTTACTGGTTGAACCCCTGTTACTTTCAGGATGACAATGGCAGTTGTTATGTTTCGACGTTAACCAAGGCTTGGTATGGTGCCAATGGAGTTCATCGAATGGACTGGCCTGTCCAGAGTCCAGACCTGAACCCTATCGAGAACCTCTGGGACAAGTTGCATCGCCGAATTCAGGGGTGCACTACCCGTGCAAAATCGGTGAAGGAACTTCTATGTCTTCTCCAAGCCGAGTGGAAGAAAATACCACTAGCTGTCATACAAAGACTTGTGGAAAGTATGCCCCGGAGGGTCCACACTGTAATTACCTCTCGTGGAGGCTCTACCAACTATTTGAATAAAGTTAGTTTTTCTTTTCTATCACAGGTGTCCAAATACTTATTTATAGTCAGCGTATGTTTGATTAATGAAATATATATGTATATATTTCAAAAATTAAATAAAAATTATCTGAACAAAAAGCACCTTGAATAACCAATACAGTCTCAAGTTAGGAGCTCTCAAATCAGCAACATATGATTTTCAAAATATTTTGAGGTAACCTATGTGGTATAATTAACACTCAGAGGCTTCTGGAAATGTCATTTTAGTATTTTATACTGCTTAACTTTCACTAACAAAGCCTGGAAATAGATGACATACAGAACCATAAATTCAGACTGGACAAAATTACGCCCAAATTGGATTGCACAGACTTTACGCAATTTGACACTTAAGGGTATTTTATTTTTGTTATTATCAATAATATTGTCTCTAAGCAAAACTATGGGCTAGGAGTTATCAATGAAGATTCTAATAAATTACTGGAAGATGATAAAAATAAGCTCAAGGAGAAAAAACTACAACAGTTTCAGAAGCTGTAATAAAAGATGACTGTTGAAGAAATGCATACAAAAGAAAGAAAGAAAAATTATCATTATTCTCTGATCTGAGAAATTTGAGCAAAATGGGATAAGATGCAAAGTTTCACCCTGATAAAACATAACAAGCTACAGCATAAGCACTTTTAATCATAATACCATGCTTCACCCCGATTATCCTAAACTAAACTTTTAATAAAAAAAAAAAAAAAAAAATTGATACCATCTTAAGAATAAAATAGATCCACAAGTAGAATACACTATTATCAAACATAATTAGTACACAAATTTAAGAATAAAATCAGCTTTATAAAACTTATCAAGTAACATTACATATTTTACCCTTATAACAGTTGGATATATTTGAAAGAAGATTAGTGACATTTTATTTATGTTTTACTAACAGTTAGCTTTATATTGATTTTTTCTTATATGTCTCATTCTGTCATGTACTTGCTCAGTTTAGAAGTTTAGTAAATAGCAGGTAGATTTTATGTCAAACGGCATACGTTAAAATGAGAAGTAAAATCAGCATGATTCCTTACAGAGGACTGGCTGTTGCCACCGCTGCTGCTTGCCTAGATAGGCACATGCTGATCAAAACAAACCTGGAAGCCTGATGTAGGCACGGTTAGTAAGTTTTGAAAGTTAGTTGTGCTCCAACTATATTTGTCCAAAATGCAAATTCACATTCAAAAGGGCACTCATAAAAACAGACAGAAATTTCAGATGATTAAAATTAAGACTTCCTGCTGAATTTGGTCAAAATTAAGGACTTTTAGGGACCAAAAATCTATTCCAAAAAAACCTAAGGACTTTTAAGGGCTGTACAAAGCCTGAATGAGCAATGCCCTCGCCAGAACTCAAACCTGGACTTCTCAAATACACCCCAAGTGTGCTACCACATAACAAAGGCATGCAGAAAGGAGGGAGAAAATACCTTATTAGAATATATCACCATATAAGATTATAAGATATACCATATAAGATAGATCATCACATAAGAATTTTCTGGTTTTGCTAGAGAAATTAACATTACTGGCCTTGACAATGAACTGAAGTAGCAGTGTAAAAAATAAGATACATAAAAATAATTTTATGTCATTTTCTTAAATTTCTTGCTGATAATTTAGATTTAAAATCCTCCACTGTTAGCTGCCTTGTGATTTTGTTTAATTACATGGCACTAAGATCGCCATAATACCTAAAATAATTATTTCTTACTTTTTGGCACATTTAACTATTGTATAACTTTAATAAAGTTAAAATCTCTTTATCTTGTATTTAGACTCTCAGATTAAAAATTAGGAAGAATGAGAGAATCACATACATTTATAAACTTTGTTGTCTTATATATTTGAGATGCTTGAACTGGTTTATGAGGTTCAAAGAATGCGTGTTCTTTTAACAACAGCAAAGCATTTGACTCCATATTAATACAGCTTTAACGCTTTATATACTGAACTCAATATGAAAATTAAAACATTATCATAGCACAGCAATATACAAGTTCTAGTTCTACAGGGCTCAGGTAAAAAGTACAAGTTCAATCTCGGGGTGATCTTTTTTTTTTTTTTTTTTTTCCCCCCCACCTTTTGATAATTTATTCACATTAAGTAAGTTATTTTCATTGCTCTTTTCACAGCAGCAAAGCATTTGACTTTGTATTAATATACATCTAATGCTTCATATACTGAGTTTAATGAGAAAGTTAAAACAGTATCATATACAACAAGTAAAAAAAAAAAAGGGGGGGAAGGAACAGAGCTATTGTACAGTGGCTTAATTCAACCATCAAATGGCACACTTCTGTTCATAGCTTGAGCAAAAAGTACAAGTTCAATCTCTGGATAATTTACATTTTTTTCGCTTTGATAATTTATTTGGATGAATTTAAGTAATTTATTTTTAATGCATAAGAACATCTTACAGCTTAAATCAAGGGCTATTATTTTTCTCTTTAATAAATTTTCTTATACAGTATATGATCATCTTAGTCCATCACAATATTCAAAGGAATATCATAAAAATTATTTATTTAAACTGAAACCTTTTAAGCAAGCTTCATGCAGAGGTGTACTGAGAGCCAATGGTGGATTCACTTCTGCACCCATTCTCATTAACAGTTCTACACAAGGAACACTTCCAGCAGCACATGCATCACATAAAGGTGTGCCTCCATCCAAACTAGTTGCATTTACCTGCAACAGAAAGCACAGTTACGGTTGACGCAATAAAAATCAAACATGTTTCAGCAATATCTTTAACTATTTTATCATAGCAAGTAACTGGCTATTCTTTAGAATAGCATCATTAGTATTCTTAGACAAAATACTTCACCTTAAAAAGACTTCTTTTTGCTTTAAAGAAGCAATATTGTATAGAACAGTGATGGGCAAACTTCTTTGGGAGTTGGGAAAAAAAAAAAAAAAAAAAATTAGTGGGCCAATGTAATTTATTCTAAAACTTTAAAAACAGTCCACAAATAGCATAATACAAATATTAATGTGATGAACGAAACTGCAACTGCATTTAAAAAATTCTTTAAATTCGGGTTAGAACTGCGATGTACAAATTCTGAGCATCTGTCACTCTATTTCTAACAGAATTCTTCCTAAGTTTTTCATGCTAGAAAACACTTGTACACATATAAAAGATGAATCAATCATAGAACTAATTTTCTGGGCACGAGCTATTAAATCTGCAGAACCTGCTTTTGGTAACAATTTGTAAAACTATAATATCTGAACACTGAAAAACAACTGCTTGAGATGATTAATTTAAACTGCAAATTTGGCTTGACAGCTTCACAATTTACATTGAAAGACAAGGCAAAAATATACAATTCTGTCTGAATGGCACTGAAATCTTGAAATCTGCATTCAAGCTCAAAATGCTCTTGCAAGATTTCGGTATAGTTAAGCCTAGCTCGACGATTTGTTTACTTCTTTGAGTAGTGCCATGAGGTAAAGAAATGCCAGGATGGACGAAGAAGACGATGATGTGTTCTATAGTGTGCTTAAATGTTGCTATGATAAACTTGAAACAGCTATTGAGTCAAAGTGTAATATGAACCAGAATATTAGTGAAGAGGCAAGGCATGCAATGTGCGAGTTAAAGTGTTTGATTACTAAGAATTTTGAACGTATTAAGTCGTTGGCTTACCATGAAGCTTGTAGGGAAAATCTTAAAGACATTTTCGTAAAACCAACATATGCTAGTGCTGTGCTGCCATCTCCTGTGGACAATGTGAAACAAAATTCTTTAAGTTGTGGTCTTGTCATTCATTTCTTCGGAAAACCGTTCGTCAGAGGATATAAAAAAAGATTCTTAAATTACAAATTAATCTTGTAGAGAAAAAAGTGGGTATTCTCAATCTGAAAAATATTGGAAATGGCAAGGTATTGATATAATGCCCCTCTGAAAATGACTTAAAAAGGATACAATCTGAAATTCAAGTAAAATCACAGGAATTAACTGCCTTTCCTTCCAGACGAAGGAATCCTACGATCTTAATAAAAAATGTCCCTAATGAGATAAGGGATGAGGATGTTCTTGATGTTTTAAAAAATCAAAATCCAGATGTTATTGCTTCTGAAAATAAATGGAATGAATCTCGAATTCGATTTACGTTAAGGAAATTTCCAAATACGAGACATTTAGTTGTTGAGGTGCATCCAGACATGCGTAGAGGTATTTTACAGGAATGTAGATTAAAAATTTCTTGGAGTATCTGTACTGTGGATAATTTTGTTGTGATTAATTGGTGTTTTAATTGTTTAGGATATAATCACCGTGCTGAACATTGCAAAAACCTACGCACTTGTTATTTCTGTGCACGTGAACATGAAAGTAAAAATTGCCCACATAAGAATTTGAAAGTCTGTATCAATTGCATTAGACACAATAAAAAAATAAAAGATGAGAAAAAAAATTAAATGTAAGCCATTTGCCTTTTTCTGAAAGTTGCTCTTGTCATGAATTTATAAGAAGTCAAAATATATCAAGAACAAATTATGGATAATAGTCATAATTCTATTTTAAAATTTGTTCAAATTAATTTACTTGGTAAACAATGTTTCCATTGCTTTTATTCAAGAACCTTACTCTTATCATGGTCTTATGCCTGGCTTTCCGAGTTCCTTTAGGTTATACTATGATTTTAATACAGAAGTCATAAAGGCTGCTATTGTTGTTCGAGCCGGATTTCTACCTACGTTTTTGGATTTGAGATTCTTGGATTATAATATGGTGACTCTTGATATTATTTTTAAAGATACAAAATTTTTATTTTCATACTACTTTGAGCCTTCCGATGTATTGACTTTGATTTGCAGAAAATAAGTCGGGTCTTCCAGGCTAGGGATCTTGCAAAGCTTATTTGGGGTATGGATTCCAATAGTAAGTCTGAACTGTGGTTTAGTCCCTACAGTGATGCTCGAGGAAACAAGCTTGGAGAATTTGTCAGCTCCTATAACTTATATGTGATCAATGAGGACTGCGGACCTACCTTTTGTTTCTGAACAGGGATCAAGCTATATAGATGTCACAATTATGGGAGCTGATTTGCTGGCTAATGTTACCCGCTGGTGTCTCTTTGACTGTGAATCATTGTCAGAAAATGCAATGATTGAATTCGACTTATCCGTTTCTGCTGCTTCTTTAATTGCTGTCAGCAGATTTTTTTTTAATACAAAAAAAGCAAATTGCAGATATTTTGAAAAACATTGTTCACAGTATATTTCTTTGATCATTATTGGTTTGGATTCTTGCTCAAGCACTGACTCACTTAATGCGATTGTAGATTTTATAACTTCAGTTATTTTTCGGGCATGTATTAAATCTATGCCTACTAGAAGGACTGGTATGCGAAAAGTACCTTGGTGGTCATTGGAAATTTCCATTATGAGAAAGAGAGCTAATGCTGCTAGACGGAGGTTCCAGAGGACTACTAGTATAAGCGGACTTGTATAAGTGGAAATACCTTGATTTAAGGAAAAAATACAATGAAATGCTTCTTGAGGCCAAATTAGAGTCTTGGAGGAAGTTTCTTTTGGATATCAATAATGAGAATGTGAGGAAAAAAATTTACACTTACGGTATTAAAGAAAATTTTATGAGGAAGATTGAGATCTCGGGCCTTCGGCTTTCAAGCAGTATGTCTTCCTTGGATGAAACTACTGATGCTATTCTTGATAAAGCATTTCCTAATAATTCTGTGAGGTTTAATAATGACTTTCATACTCAGTGGCGCTCATCTGCTCGCAGCAATTATGCGTCTCAGATTGATCGTCCTTTTTCGCAGGCCGAGGTTGATCACGTAATTCATAATTTAAGGCTTGGCAGGGCTCCTGGCCTGGATTCTATTCCCAGTAAAACTATAAGATACTTCCATCGGCTTTTCCTGCAGTTTTTCATAGATTATTTAATATATGTTTGAATCTCCACAAACTTGGAAGAACGCCCTCGTTATTGTGATACTCAAGAAACAAACCACATGTGAATAATCTTAGGTGTATCTGTCTTCTTTCTTCTTTAGGTAAATTTTTTGAAAAACAAATTACTAACATAATTACTTGGCATCTATATAAATAAAATATTCTTAGTGCTGACCAATATGGTTTCATTGCTCAAAAATATGCTGAGGATTGCATTTCTGCGTCTTAGCAACATTGCGTCAAACAGAGGGGCAAGACAAGAGGTTTGTACACTATTTTAATTTTTTTTTGATATTGAAGGAGCTTTCAATAATGCATGGTGGCCTGCTATTCTTAATTTACTAAAAAGAATGAAAATACCTCATAATGTGTTTAATGTTGTTTCTGATTTGCTTGAAAGACAGGACGGTCAAGCTTTTTCTGGGTGGCACCTCAAGTGTTCGTTCGACCTCAGAGAGGATGTCCACAAGGCTCTGTTTCCGGTCCCAAGCTTTGAATTATTATTATGAATGATCTCTTACAGAAACTTTCTGATCTCTTCAGTTGTGAAGTCATTGCCTTTGCAGTGATTTGTTGATTTGTATTCAAGGAAAAAGAAATGCAAAAATTTTCATCTCGCCCAAGATGTTTTAGATTTCATTTATCATTGGTCAATAGATTTTAAGTTAAACTTTAACCATGCAAAATCCAAGACCATGTTTATTGATAGAAAAAATACTACTTATGAAGGATATCAATTGCTTTTAAATGACAATCCCCTTGAGAGGGTGAATGAAATTAAATATTTAGGTGTTTTGTTGGACAGCAAATTAAACTGGAAAAAGCATATTTCCTACATTTCTAATAAATGTGAGAGACTTCAGCGTGGGCTGAATCGAATTGCATGTAATAGTTTTGGTGTTAATCGAATGTTAGCGCAATTATTTATAAACAAGGCATTGTACCCTTTATTTCATATGGATTGGGGATGATAGGATTGGGGATGATATGATGATTTCATATGGATTGGGGATGATCATATGGATTGTCTCTAAAAAAGAAAATTAACTCTAAACGCCTGCTTCGAGTTCAAAGACGAATTTTACTGTGAGTTATAAGGGATTACCAAACTATTAGTTACAATGCTGTTTTCTCTCTTGCTGGATTTCCACCCCTGGATTTGTTTATTCTGACCTTTACAGATTACAAGAATAGTCTTGCAAACTACTCCAGTTCTCATTTTGATTCATTTATTGCCCTTGTCTGTTCTTCCACATCTTTCTGTAAGACAACCAGTACAGATTCTGGATAGTATGGACAGTGATGTAAATTCATTCTCATTTGTGTTGTATACGGATGGTAGTAGGATTGATGATAAAGTTGTTTTTGCTTATGTTATTTTTGAAGATGATATTGAAATTGAGTGTTACCAATTTCACATTAGAAATGAATGTACTGTATATATTTCTGAGCTTCTGTGTATTAATTTTGCAATCAAATGGATAATTAGCCAGGATGGACGTAGTTCCAGTTACTTAATCTGTATGGATTCACTCTCTCTTCCCTGGAATCCCTTAAAAATACCTCTTTATGTAATGATATTATTATTAATATACAGCAGTCTCTCAGAGATCTGGAGGAGAAGGATATTTCAGCGTTTTTTACATTTGTCCATGGTCATTTGGGTAATTATGGAAATGAGAGACCTGACTGGCTTGCTAAGACTGCAACTAAAAACAGTATTAATGTTGATGTAAATATTCCAAAATCTTATTTTAAAAAAC